AAAAAAAACCCTGATACAAGTCCTTAATACCATCTAAACAAATCCAGTCTGTATTCAAATGTGCTTAATTGCCATAAAAGTGTTCTTGCTGGTGATTATTCTAATCATGATGAAAACATTGTCCCTTCCCTGTTATGTTTGTCATGACTCCTAAATTTCAGTTAAGTCCTTGTAGTCTGTGTGCTCCCGCTTTACTAATACAAAAAAAAAAAAAAAAAAAAAAAAAACCCTGATACAAGTCCTTAATACCATCTAAACAAATCCAGTCTGTATTCAAATGTGCTTAATTGCCATAAAAGTGTTCTTGCTGGTGATTATTCTAATCATGATGAAAACATTGTCCCTTCCCTGTTATGTTTGTCATGACTCCTAAATTTCAGTTAAGTCCTTGTAGTCTGTGTGCTCCCGCTTTACTAACAATCACTATGTGCCAAATGCCCTACTGTTACCATGGGTCTTGATCAGGTTCATTTTCTCCAATTAAAAGAATTAAAAGGCAGGAAAATTCTCAGACACAGCAGGAAGCAACAGGTAACAAACTATTAATAAAGTAAAGAAACACATATAAACACTCATACAGAGAGAAAAGCTCTCCACAAGTAGAGAGGGAACACAGAAACCAAAAAATCCAAAGCTCCCAGGAGGGTTTGGGTCTTTGAAGTGTTCTTGGCATATAGGGCAGGTCCCCCTCCTTGAATTTTGGACCGGTCAACTAAACAAAGAAGAAAGAGCTGTCAGGTCACAGCTCCAAGCTGAGAGATGGCTAAGTCTATCTAGCATTAGTCTTATCTTAACTGCTCTGGACCAATCAGCCAGAAAGGTAGCCCTACTGCCCACAAGGGGAGTGCCCAGGCTTTCCCTCAGACCAAGAAGAAGCTGAGAGTGTGCCATGTTGGTTGCTCATCTGATCCTGTCTGCTTACCAAGATTTAGTCCCTCGGTTCCTGGAGCTAGGAACACGGTAGCCCTACTCTCCAAGAGCTTAGAGTACCATGAGTAATGAGTGACTATGTCACAGTCATGATGTCTTCTATAACATGTTAACCCTCCTCAAACACTGTCATAGTCACAGTCCCAGCTACAAATACTGTCACTCTCAACTTCCTCCTACATTTCCTGGCATTTCTCTATCTACCATTTATGAAACAGGAAGCCTTTGAGAAACCACTTCTGATCCCTGTAAAGCATTGTTTGAGTTCCAAAGTGTTATAACTAATATTAACTTGTTTTTATTGAATTTTTGTGTATTTCATACAGAACATCTCAATCAATCTTAATCATCTTTATACCCCCATCCCCACAGACATCCTCCCATAGGCCCCCGACTGGAGCTCATATACTTTGTCATCCCTCTTTTTTCCTTTTGGTTAACCGGCCTAAGGGTCTGTCTAGCTTGCTTATCTTTTCAAAGAACCACTCTCAGATTTATTGATTCTTTGTACTGTTTTCTTTATTTCTATTCCATTAATTTCTGCTCTGATTTTTGTTGGTTCTTCCTCTCTGATGGGTTTGGGTTTCATTTGTTGTTTATTTTCAAGTGTCTTGAGTTGCAATGTTGTCATTTATTTGTGTTCTTTCTGATTTTTTAATATAGGCACTTAGAGCTATAAACTTACCTCTAAGGATTGCTTTCAAGTGTCCCAGATTTTGTTGTGTTGTATTATCCTTTTCATTCAGTTCCAGGAATACTTTTATTTCTTTCTTAATTTCTCCTTTGGCTCATTCATCATTCGAGAGTGTGTTGTTTAGTCTCCATGAGTCCATGTAGTTGCTAGAGCTTCTTCTGGTGTTGATTTTAAGCTTTTTTGCATTGTGGTTTGATAGAATGCATGGAATTATTTCAATTTTTTGTATTCCATTAAGGCTTGTTTTGTGCCCCAGTACGTGGTCGATTTTGGAGAAAGTTCCATGGGGATCTGAATAGAAGCTATATTCTTTGGTGCTTGGATAGAATATTCAGTAGATGTCTGTTAGGGCCATTTGATGTACAGTATTGTTTAATTCAGATATCTATCTGTTTATTTTCGTCCCATTGACCTGCCTAATGGAAACAATAGGGCATTGAAGTCCCCTACTATTAGTGAGTTTGGATTAATCTGTGTCTTAAAGTCCTGTACTACCATTTTTATGAAGCTGGGCGCACCAGAGTTTGGTGCATATATGTTCATATATCTTCTTGGTTTATTGTTCCTTTGATCAGAATGAAGTGGCCCTCTATATCCCTTCTGATTCATTTTAGCTTGAAGTCTATTTTTGTCAGATATTAGAACTGTAACTCCTGCTTTTATCTTAGTACCATTTGCTTGGAATATTTTTTTTTCCATCCTTTCATCTTAAGCTAGTGCCTGCCCTTGATGGGTTTCTTGCAGACAACAAAAAGATAGAGTTTGATTCTTAATCCATTCAACTAGCCTGTGTCTTTTGACTGGGGCGTTCAATCCATTGATATTTAAAGTTATTATTGAAAGATATATTGATTCCTGTCATTTTGACTTCTGTTTGCATTTTTGGTCTCACTGTGCATTTCGACAGTTATCCCTTCATTTAGTTTCTTTCTGTTGCCCCTTTGGTATAGTTGTTCCTTTTTTCAGCTCTTTGTATTGCTTCAAGAATTCTCTCAAGGACTGGTTTTGGGGACACGAATTCTTTCAGCCTATTTATATTATGGAAGATTTTTAGTTTCCCTTCAACTATAATAGGTATTTTTGCTAGGTAAAGTATTCTGGGTTGGCATCTGTGGTCATTTAGAATTGGGAACACTTTGGTCCAGTCTCTTCTGGTTTTCATAATTTGTACTGAAAAGTCAGCTATAATTCTGATGGGTTTTCCTTTATATGTGATATGTTGTTTTTTTCTTTTGCAGCTTTCCGCATTCTCTCTTTGTTTTGAAGGTTTAATGTTTTTACTATGATATGCTGTAGAGTGTTTCTTTTCTGGTCCTATCTATTTGGTGTTCTATGTGCTACTTGTATTTGTATGAGCATGTCTTTCTTTAATTTGGGGAAATTTTTTTCTACAATCCTGTTGAAGATCTGGTCTGCCCCGACCTGCAGGGCAGGAGACGGAGACTCGAACTCCCAGGAACCTGGAATGATGGGACAAGAGACAGGAAGAATGACAGCAAGACAAAGAACTCTGATCAAGCTGCAAAAGTTTATTTTTCCACGGGGATTCTTATACGGGCTGAAGCGGGAAGTTAGCTGGGGAAGGGGAAGGGAAGGTGTCTCAATGGGTTAATGAATGTCCCTTAGGATGAGGGGAACTGGCGCCGTGAGTCTGGTTGCAGGATAAGGAAATTGGTGGTTGCTCAAGCTTATCTTTGAGTCATCGGAAAGGTTGCTTATCTTAGGGGTCAGGGAGGACTGATCAGCAAGTTCTCCGGAGGCTGCTTGCCCTGGGGGGCAGGGAGGGCTGCCAGGCAACGTGGTCTCCCACACTGGTCCATACTGTTATCCTGAGATTCTACTCTTTCTTCTATGCCTATGATGTGTAAATTTGGTCTTTTCATGGTGTCGTACATTTCCTGCATATTCCGTTCCTGTGTTTTCTTAAATTTTTCATAATCTTTGCTTGAGCAGTCCAGTTTGTCAACTTTATCTTCGTCTGTGTCCTGGGTTATCTCTTGGGGATTCTCATTGTAAAACTCCTCTATAGGACTGTTGGTGCTTAGTAGGAACATATTATTTGGATTTTTCATGTTATTATTTTTTGGTTGTGACTTTGGCATGTGGATTTCTTTTGTTGTTTCTGATTCTTGAGAAACAAGAATTCATGAGACTCAAGCCTTCCTTTGTTGAGTTTAAGTGTGTTTCTCTTTGTATACTTGATGTTCCTTTGTTGTTTTCTTATTGGGTATGAAAAGCTGGTTAGTCTAGGCTTCAGGTTCTCTCTTTTGTTTTTATATTGAAGGGGCCTGATGACTTTAGTCCAGCTGCTCAGGGGTTCCTACAGAGGACCAAATCAGATGAGGAGCAGATTCTCTCAGGCTTCCTCCTAAGGTCTAGGTCTCTCTAGTCAGGAGACACAGTACAATTTGGGAGGCTTGTAGGTGGAGGTAGGATTCAGGTGATATCAGGCAGTCAGAATAGGATGCTGATCTTAGGAATCCCAAGAAAGTTGGGGTTGGGCACAGCCAAGGTAGAAGACTGGTCTCAGGTGTGCAAAGGCAAGTTGGGGTGGGGGCAGGCTGTAAAAGCTCTAGGAAACTAGACTGAAGAATTAAGTTAGTCTGGGTGCAAAGGGTCAGGTCCGAGTGGGTGGATCTGGGCCAAGAGGGTAGTCCAGAAGTCTGGGACACCAAGAGCAGAAGTGGGCCTGTGCCCATGGTTTGAAGGAGAGCAGGATGTGGGGGCTGGGAAATTGAATCAGGTTGTCGAAGTCAAGGTGCAGTGGGTGGGGTCAAACTTACCAAGGAAGGAGGCTGGTCTCAGGAATTCCTGGCAGGTTGCAGGTGGGGACAGTCGGAGAAGAAGGCTGGTCTTAGGTGAACAAAGGCAAGATGGAGGCAGGCTGTGAAAGCTCTAGGAAAGTAGACTGAAGAACTGGGTTGGTTGGTCTGGGTGCAAAGGGTCAGGGCTCAGTGGATGGATCTGGGCCAAGAGGGTAGTCCAGAGTTCTGGGGTCCAAGAACAGAAATCTAACTTACAGACTTTTTATTATTGGGAAATGTACTCTTTAAGAATAAGAACACACACCTTTAACCCCAGCACTTGGGAGGCAGAGGCAGGCGGATCTCTGTGAGTTCAAGGCCAGCCTGGTCTACAAAGTGAGTTCCAGGCCTGCTGGGGCTACAGAGAGACCCTGTCTCAAAAAGACCAAAAAATTAATTAATTAATCAATTAATTGATTAATTAATTAAATTAAAAAATAAAAATAAGAACAATGGGCTGGAGAGATGGCTCAGCAGTTAAGAACACTGGTTGTTCTTGCAGAAGACCTGGGTTCGAATCCCAGCACCCACATGGCAGCTAACAACTGTCCATAATTCCAGTCCAAGGGGCTCTGACAGCCTCTTCTGACCTCCGTGGGCATTGCATGACACGAATGCACTTACCCACAGGAAAGCAATACACACACATAAAATAAAAATAATAAATTTTTTTTTAAAAAAAGAACAATGTGGCAAGCATGGTTCCATATACCTTTAATCCCAGCACTCTGGAGACAGAGGCAGGCAGGTCTCTGTGAGATCAAGGCCAGCCTGGTCTACATAGTGAGTTCCAGGCCAGCTAGGGCTACAGGGTGACCCTGTCTCAAAAACAAAACAAACAACAAAACAAAGCAAATAAGAACAATAAGGACCAAAGACAGAGCTCAGTAACAAAGGTCTTGGCTGGTGTACGCAAGGTACTGAGTTTGATCCCCAGCATATAACACACACACACACACACACACACATACACACACAAATACAAACACACATATTTAATCATCTTTGCCATCATCATAGGACTAGCTAACTGCTCCCAGGTGTGTATTAATCTGTAGGTTTGCATCAGATCACTTAACACTCAAAATTGTATGAGATGGGTGCTGTTATTATCCCTATTACAGATGAGGAAACTGAGACTCTAGAAGTTAAATAACTTGGTCAGACCAGGACTCAGTCTTCTGACTGAAATTGAGTGTATCCATGGCCCTGTACTGAGTCCACATCCATCAGGTGAGCAGAGCTGGTGTAACTCAGTGTCTGCCTCCCCCTCTTCTAGAGTTCACTTCCCCAAGGCTGGCTCCTACCACTGGCCCAACATAGGACTCCGCTTTGTGGTGACAAAGGCAGTGGTCGTTGAGATTGAAATCTGTGCCTGGAGCCAGTTCCTGGACAATTCTCCCCTGCTGGACACATACATGGTGGCTGGGCCTCTGTTTGACATCAAGGCTGAGCAGGGAGCTGTGGCTGCTGTGTACCTCCCTCACTTTGTGGCCCTCCAAGGTAACCAAGGGAAGGATAGGGAGGAGGGTGGTGATGAGGAGGGCCCTGACAGGGCTCATGGCTTCCTTACTTAGGTAGAGAGAGTCATGGAGGCAGAAACTAAAATGTCTCCTCATTCCACTCTTGTCTATATGTGTCTGCTTTGAAGCACATGTCTCCCAGTCTTAGGATAACATTTCTTGTACTTACCTGACAGTTTCCCTAAGTGGAAAGTGATGTCCTCCGTAACAACTTAACTAAAATTTATTAAGTGCCCCTTTATACACACCGTATCCTATGGGTCCTAGCAGGAAACAGAAGATAAATTGAGCAATTTAAAGAAATTTTGCAAAGACTATGAACAAAGATAGCCAAGTGAACTAATAAGGAACATTTACTACCAATATCTGTCAACAATGGGAAGCCATCAGCACCCCTACAGGCAGAGAAGACTATGTCACCATATCCTTTTGAGAGCTGGCATCATAGAAAAGAGAAGTCATCTAGTATCTGAACCTCAGTCATCTCCAAAGATTCCCTCAGAAAATGCAATAAAGATAAGCTCACAATAAAAAATCTCACATAGAAAGCCATTATCACTTGCCTGTAATGCCCGCAACCAGGGGATCCAATGCCCTCATCTGACCTCCACAGGCATACACATACACAGTATACATCAATCCATCAATACTCTGTTGACTGAAATTTCAACTTTGTAGAGGCAACTTACTGTTAATATTTTTGTTATTTCACATGTGTGAGTGTCCATGTATGTAAATTATATTTCTAAACATTAAAAAAAAAAAACCTCACAAACCATGAACAAGGCACAGTGAGGGTTGTGCACTATGTATCAGACAAGGTGGGTTCCATCTGGGTGTTATCGGCTCAGTGTCACAGTGACCCAGTGAGATAGGGATTGTGGCTTCCCTTCATGTACCAAAGAGGAAAGTGAGGTTCAGAGAGGCAAAAACCTGTCCAGAGTTGGGATTCTAATGCAAGCCCTGTTAATTCTAGGGTAGAAACTGCACCCCCATCCCATCCCAATCCTGGCCAAGCCTGTAACCCACCAGCTTTCCCTACACTGCAGTCTTGGTCTTACCCTGTGGCTGCACCAGGCCTATTCCCTTTGGATTCTGCACACAGAGCAGGGGAGCAAATACACAAACGAGACTTACAGCTGGCCATGTCCGTGCTCAGCAAAGAAACTAACCCTGGGCCTGGGCAAGGCCTCTTCCAGGAACCCCTGCCCTCTGCCATCAGCACTGCAGCAATTCCTTTTTCTGGAGAGGATGACCTCACTGACAAAGGCAGGCCTCATAGAGGACTTGGTCAGTGACTGGTTTTTCACCAACATTCTCAGTAAGCTCCTACAGCAATTTACTACTTTCAGGCCAGGCACGGTGGCTCATGCCTGTAATCCCAGCACTTGAGAAGTGGAGGCAGGAGAATCTTCAATTTGAGGCCAGCCTGGGCTACATGGCATAACTCTATCTCAAAAGGAAGAAAGAAAGGAAGGGAGGGAGGGAGGAAGGAAGCACTAATGTCTTTCCACTGTGTGTATTCTCCCTCTATAACTAGAATTTAGAGCTTTAATATCTCAGCTTCTCTCCAGGGCTCCACACCACAGACACACTCACCATCCTTGAAATCAATTGGTCAACCTAGCTCAAAACAAAAGCAGAGGGTTTCTGGTCCAAAATAGATTTAAAAAATGAAAAGAAAGCAATGGCAAAAAGCCCTGTGCGACTGCACAGGTGTTAGGCCCTGAAGCTTATGCGCCATCCTTACCAGCACCCGTCTTCAGCAGGCACAGACCTCCTCCCCACAGGCCCTTCTTCCAAGAAAGCAAGTTTCCTATTTCACTTGTACTACCTTCGCTCCTTCTCTTCCCCGCATACCCCAAGAGCTGACTCAGACTACATCCATAGCAATGAGAAGAACATCCCACAAACCCCTCCAGGGTTAGTTCTCTCAAATCAATACCTGATTACAGAATAATAGAGAGACCCAAAGAGCCTCCAGCTTAGCAAGACACTTCATCAAACGATCTCACACCCTTTTCTTGCCAGTCACCAAGGGTTATCAGGAAGGCTTGGCAAGGTTGTTTATGGAAAACAGAAAGAACCACAGAGGCAAAGCAAGGAGCCCTGGCTATACCACCTTCTTTACCTGTACACAATCTTCACAATGACATTAGAAGACAGGGTCTCCTTTGCACTTTACAGTAAGACGTTAACTAACATCCTCAGAGCCACACAGCTCACAAGGGCAGTTGCTGGTATTCAAAGTCACACAGACCATGTAACTTACCACCACTCTGCTAGAAGTGCCCTGTGCCTCATATTTATGTGATTTGAGCCTCATTGCCCCTCCTTAAGGAGGAAAGTCCATAGCTCACCTGAGCCCACAAGATGCTTGACAACTCTCTCAACAGGAGAACAGATCAGGTGGCTTAGGACCATAGCTCCAAGGACAGTGTTCAAAGAGTACCCAAGATACGGGAGTAGCAGTGACCAAAGACTGGAACTGGGATAAGAGAAAGCATCCAGGGGTTTCTCCTGGCAGAGCCTTTGTGATGCTCTGGATTGTATGTTATTCAATGTCTTCTCTGTTACACTACCAACTCCAGAATTGCAATGTTTGTGGGACTTGAGTCCCACAAACATTAAAAAAGATATGAGGCCCTGCCACAGAAGCACTCCTACCCCAATGGTGTGTTCTGAGATACCTAATGAGGCCAACCAACATGGCTCCACATAGGAGTCCTGGTCTCCCTACCAACAATACTTGTCCAGTCACCACTCCAGCCTCCTGTTCTCAGACCATCATTTTCATGTCACTTCCCTTCTCTCTCTGATCAGACAGCTACACTATTGGAGGGCTGCAAGAAGGTGATTCTGCTACAGTTTATGGAAACAACAATATGTGCAAAAGGGCCAGGTGGTAGTCTGCACCTGTACTCTCAGGATTCTGGAGGCTGAGGTAGAAAGCTTATAATTCTAGCTAGAGCTACATAGAGAAATCCTGTTTCAAAAAAAAATCTAAAAGGAGGGAAAAAAATAAAAATTAGGGGCTGGAGAGATGGCTCAGTGGTTAAGAGCACTAGCTGTTCTTACAGAAGCCCCAGATTCCTATACCACCACCCTTATGGCAGTTAACAACTGTCTGTAACTCCAGTTGCAGGGGATCCAAAACCCTTTTCTGTCCTCTGTGGGCACTGCACACATGGGTACACTTATATGCATGCAGGCATAACACTCATACACATAAAATTTTTTAAATCAATTTTTTTCTTAAAAAAGAAAAATAAAGAGAAGACAACAAAAAATCTTAGATGCCTCTTTCTTAACAATAAAAGTCCTGCATCCTACGATTCCCACATGTCCTAGGAAAGTCATGGAAGTTTAACCCTAGCAAGAAAGAAAGTTGGAGAGGTGCAGCATCTTCCAGAATTTCACCAAAACTGGCATTGCACAAAGTAAGTGCCAAGAGCTGGTGCTGGGGCTGAGATGGGCTGTGTGGTCTTTAGTAAAACTGAGGTTTCAAGGCCTCCATTGTGCATGCTGAGGACATTCCAGTGCTCTGGGGTCCTCATGAGACCATCACCTACTGTCACTTATGACCATTCCAAGTTGTACCACTCTTGAAGAAGCAGTTTTATTCTTTCATCCCTTGGTTCTTACTAATCCCAAAGACATATCCCAAGAGAAATAAGAAAGATCTCTGCTAAAAGACACACATTGCAATTGTTTATCATGGTGCAGAATTGGAAGAAAATTCAGTGCAGCAGAGAATGACTGCAGTGGGAAAGGCAATGGTGGTAATAACAGTTGTATTATTTCAGCGGTAAGAATCAAAGGTAAATAAAGGAAACTATTGTGCCAAAGCCCAACTTGGTGAACTAATGAGCTTTTATTGGAATTACTAACAGTATGGGTGCAGAGTTATTTATAGGAGCAGGGATGGCTCAAAAGCAGCTTCATCACCAAAATCCCACCCCAACAAGGGTGAGAACTCAGGAAAAATGCAAGCCTAGAGTTCACTGCACAACTTGCAGGCAACCTGGTAGGTCCAAGAGTCTCCTCTGGACAGCTGTTCTGGTCAGAGTCTCCTCCCCCTAGCAGTTTTTTTGTTTGTTTGGTTTGGTTTGTTTTTGTTGTTGTACTTTTTGCTTTTTTGGTTTTTGGTTTTTGGGGTTTTTTTACCGCTTCTAGAAAGTCAGAGAGGAGCTTTGAGAATCTTACAAGTTTTTGCTTTCCCAGACCTGTGACTATTTGTTTACCTCCTGCATTTTCATGAGCCTCCCTGTCCCTCTTGGAGGGAGTGTTTCATTTAGGAGGAAACTTCAAGATGTTCCTTATTGTCCCAATGCAGTGAAAGGTGTTTCACATTAATGGTGGCTGGTCTCTAATAATTATAGCTGCTTTCTCAACACCAGCCTGATGTTTTCCTGTCTTGAAATTTTCTCTACCAAACTGGTCCATTACCTTTAAATTCAACTTCTCTAAAGTTCAGGACATGAGCAGAATGAAGCCAGTATCTTGGCCAAAATATCATATGAATGACCCATATCACAGATCCCAACAGAATCCTGGTTCCCCTCTGAACATCATGAGCTGGGGCTCCACTCTCCATGTTTCTCTCAGATTGTCATCTAAACTGCCATAAAAATGTTACATTAAGCTCTGCTTTCACCATAAATTCTTCCACATTCTAACCATAAACAGGTCCAATGACCTAAGAACCACACCATCAGGTAATTACATCAATGACACAACTCCTGGTAACAATTTGTTATCTGGGTTCTTTGCTTATTGCTGAAACAAAACACGACCAAAGCAATTTAAGGGAGAAAGGACTTGTTTCAACTAAATATTCAAAGGTGCTGTCCATCAGAGCAGGGACAAGGGGGTCCCAGAGTCAGGAGTTTGTGGCAGATAGTAAAGTTGCATCCAGTAGGGCACAGAGGTTAACAGATGCTTGTGCTAAGAGGACCTTCTCCTTTTTATATAGTCCAAGATCCCTGCTGTGGAACAGTGAAACTCACAGTGCGTAGGTCTTCCCAACTCATTTAACCCAGTCAAGACAGTCTCCTTCAAGCATGCCAGGAGGTCTGTCTCCAGGTAATTCTAGATTTCATCAAGTTGACAATAGAGATTCACTGTCACAGGGATCCATTTACTTGTGTCTTCACAGGACTGAAGGTCTCCCTTGTGTGTCTTTCATAAATGCTAAACTCCCATTCAAGAGGGTCCTACCTCATGACCACTTCACCTCTGAAAGGGCTCCACTTCCTAATACCATCATCTTTAGCCAGGCTTAATGGTGCATGCTTTTAATTCCAGCACTTAGGAGGTAGAGGTAGGTGGATCTCTGTTTCAAGCCAGCTTGGTTCCTAATACTATCACCCTGTATTGAGCATTTCAGCATTTGAATATTAGGGAGAAATAATCATTTAGACCTTAGCATTAGAGTCACCCAGGAGGGTCCTTCACCCTAAACCTACTGTCCCAGCCAAGTCTGACTCAGTGGAAACACTAAATCCACATCTCTTCGATCTATTCTTTGACAGAGGAAAAGGTGAGCATCTTCTGCTTCCAAGTGGCCCATTTTAAAGATCATGGGATGATCCTGGAGAAGCCAGCCAGTGTGGAGCAGCATTACACGGTCCTGGAAAATCCCAGCTTCTCTCCGATGGGAGTTCTACTAAAAATTATCCCTGCTGCCCGGCGCTTCATCCCCATCACCTCCATCACATTGCTGTACCATAAGCTTCATCTCCAGGAAGTCACTTTCCACCTCTACCTGATCCCCAATGACTGCACCATTCGGAAGGTGACACTGAGGAACACAAAGGTTGGACTAGGGTGGGCCGACAGAAAACATGAAATGCAGGTTATGAGTCCCTCAAACAGATCCTCATCTGGGAGTGAGGATGAACTTTTGTTAGAGGAGCCCTGTTGATAGTAATTCTGCCCTCTGCTTTGTTTGGGTTTGGTTCTCTCATACCTAGGTCTCCCCTAAATTGCATTTACTTCCCTTTATTAATCTCTACAAAGATTTGTAGAGCCTCTCTCTAGGCATCAAAAGCCTGGGAAGGTTCCATGCCCAACCTGTAGTCTTTGCCTCTCCCCTCTTCTTCCTACTTTGAACATGATAAGAACCAAGTGTACAAGTATGTCTCTGTGTGGTAAAACACAGGGAAAGTGATGAACAGGAGGCTCACCACTCACCTCAAGGACACAACCCCCACTCTCACACAAATGTATTTACCCACCATCTCACATTATTCAACAAGATTGTGAAGGGCAGAAATCTCCCTGAATTGTCTGTAATGTTCCCTAGGCCATAGATGATGAAGAAATGATGTTCCAATTTGTGCGAATACACAAGCCACCCCCTATGGAACCCCTTTACATTGGCAGCCGCTACACTCTTTCTGGTTCTGAACATCTGGAAATCATCCCCATGGTGAGAATCTAGGTGTTTGCTGCTCTCTGTGATCAGACACCAGGCTTGTATAAACCTGTGGGGCAGACTACAGGGCTTTACCAGCAAATTGAGATTGGGTAGAAATTTTGGGACTTGGGGTGGGCCAGAATACTTCAAATATTATTGGTGGAAAGGAATTTAAGGGGCAAGAAGATCATGTTCAAGATGAGGAAGATGAGGGATAGACTTAACTTGCTGGCACTACAAAGTGACTGCTAGTGAACAAGCAGTGGAAGCACACCCTTAGTTGCACACACTGGGTTTCATGCAGTGTGCAACACACTCCATGGAGAACAATGGGGGTTCTCAGTAAAAAAAAAAAGTGCTAGAAAGAAACTACCACAGGATTTCAGCCTTGGCTGGGTAATTTGAAAGATCTAAGGAAACAGATTTGCTCTAGATTGAGTGTATCAAGAAGCAGGGACAGGGCTGGAGAGATGGCTCAGCAGTTAAGAGAACTGACTGCTCTTGCAGAGGACCAGGGTTCATTTCCCAGCACCCACATTGTGGCTAACAACTGTCCTTAACTCCAGTTCCATGGGAATCTAACACACCCTTCTGATCTCCATGGGCATTGCACAACACGGGTACATTTACACACATGCAGGCAATATACTCATACACACAAAAATTTAAAAATAAATAGATACTTTTAAATAAATAAAAATTTAAAAAGGAAGCAGGGACAATATATTACAGGGAATCTCAACACATCTTAATCCTAGGGAGAGAGGAGCAAACAGAATGCTAGAATTGGTAAAAGATAGTAGTGTCTCAAGTCAAGTCAGGGTGCTTGGGGTGTATAGGCTTCCTGGCAACCTTTCTGAAGTGGTGTCCTGTGTATGTCCAATAGATCTGAGATGGTGGCATCCACAGTCAGGATAGGTCTCCCTCCTCAGTTAAAACTCCCTTTAAATGTCCTCACAGACACACCTAGAGTTGTGTCTCCTATTCATTCTAACTCTAGTCAAATTGACAATGAAGACTGGCCTCCCTACTCAGATTGTCCGAGTTGTAACAAGTATAAGCACAACAGGAAGTACTGGCTGTGATTAAAAATCCCCAGGACCAGCTATGGGGTTTTAATATCCAAGGAATTGTCGAGGATGATAGAGCCAACAGTCAGTTACCCTCAGCAGTAGCGATGGCCTGGAGAAAGGTACAGAGGAGTTTTATTTTTCCTGAAGCGGTAGAAAGAAAACAAAGGTAATCAGAAATAACAGGGTGAAGATTATGGAGATTATAATAGCACTTCAGAGGGCTCAAAAGGACAAGACTAGATAAAGACCAGTAGTAGAACACAGTGATGGGAAAGGTGCTGAGGAACCGGAGACTTCATCCTGCTCTGATGTTCCAAGCTGAATTGTCCATGTCAGAAGGTGGCAGCCTCTGAAGACTTTATGAGGTTCTGTTCAGTGTCTTCAGACCCTCCCTATACAGAACTGGCCTAGAGGTTATTTGCATGATATTCTGGTAAAGAATCTGGCTTCATTCTGCTCATGTCCTCAGAGTTTGAGTGAGGCTGAATTTAAAGACAGTAGACTGATTTCTTTGTCAGAGGAAATGTCAAGACATGAGAGTATTCAGGCTGTGGTATGGTTACTGCTTGTTGCACTTATCCAGGTCTATGATGAAGAAACCAATAAAGTGGAAAGAAAGATGCATAAATGTCCAATTTGGTGAGGAAAATAACACCAAGTTTAAAGTTGTAGCTAGTGCATGGGCTGAAGAAGAGGAATGTTCTTCTCTGTGTTAGGACAACAGGTAAAATACCCTGAGGGCAAGACTCCACCCATCAAAGGCTCCAACATGGGAAAATGCAAATTTATTTGAAAGGACAGATTCTGACCTGAGAATGCAGTTTAAGGGGTTCTCTGCTCAAAAGCAACTGGCTAGAATATCATTTCTACAGATTCAGCAACCAAAGCACACAGATGTCACCAGAGCCATGGTTCAGGGGGTCAGGCGCCACCTGAATGCGGTAGCAGAACTTGACAGTGTTGTGCATGTGGTTCTGGTTTTATAGGCATAAATTATACAAGATTGAAGGGGTCATAGGGTCTTATTATATAGTTTCAGAGATCTGCTGAGGCCATGCAATGTGTGGTAGGATTGAATTCCTTCAGGTGGGGATCGAGGAGGCATTCTTTAATTCAGTGAAGCTGAAACCCAAACTCCACTGGATAACCCAAGATATTGTAGGTGCCAGGACTGTGAGACATTTGCAGAGAAAAGCTGCAGGCTTGGTGTGTAGTTGGCCTAAGGGAAAGGATGTGTACAGTAAGCAGTAGAGCTGGATGGACAGTGATAGCAAAGTCCTTTGGAGTCCAGGAAATCCCATCAGAGACGTCAGGTGATAGACATGGAGCTTACGGAGTTTCCCATTTGGAGTTCAGTCTCCCTTTTACAGCATTCTTTGGGGTGCCCTGATTCTTCTTTTGGCATGGGAATGTTTACTATGTGTCATATCAGAAACATGTAAGATTTTTTGTTGTACAGGATCTCATAGTTGAGGGATTGTCTGAGTTGTAAAAGAGATATAGAAGAACAATACATACACTTTTTAAACAGTGTTGGAACTGTTGAAGACTATGGGAACTTTTGATGTCAGATTGAATGTATTTTGCATTATGAGATGCTCATGAACTTATGGGGACAAGTCAAGTGAAGTGATGGCTTAAAAGTGATGTATTTTGGTGTCAAATTCAAGGCATGAAATTGTCTTGATTAATATTGTCACTTTTGCAGGATCTAGAATCACCTAGGAGACAAGTCTCTGGAATGCCTGGGATGGGCATGTCAGTGAGGGATTTATCTAGATTAGGCTGAGATGGAAAAACCCACCCTGAATATGGGCAGCACCAGTCCATGGACTGGAAGCCTGGACTGAATAACAGGATGATGCAAACTGAGCACTAGTACTCATCACTCTCTGCATCCTCACAGTGGATACAATGCAACTCGTCTTCCATGACTTCCTCGCCGTGGTATACATGATTTTTGCCGTGATTTTGTGAGATGAAAAAAAAAAACACTTTTTTCCTCAAGTTGATATTTTTTCAGGTTATTTTATCACAGTAACAACAACAACAAAAAAGTAGTAAGTTGAACTTAGACCCCAACAAGAATGCAGATTTGGCCTGGAGAACTGAGGAATTGGATTCAATATGGCAGAGGTAGAGGAAGAAGCATCTAGCTAAGCAAGGTCTGGCTAGCATTACTTGTAGTATGAGCTCTCACTCACTCACGGGTATTAAGGTTTGAATCTGAAATGTCCCTCACAGGTGTTTGAATCTGAAATGTCCCTCACAGGTGTATGCAGTAGTAACTGAAAGACACGAGGCCTGGCTAGCAAAACTAGGTCACTGGTGGAAGGCCTTGAGGGTTGTAATTATACACTTTCTACCTCAGGCTCTCTGCTTCTTGATCCTCAGAGATATAATAAGCCATGCCTCAAGCTCCTACCACCACACATGGAGCCCCATCTTCCATGCATTTCCCACGATCAATCTGTGAGACAAAATAAATCCTTCCTCAAGTCACCTCTTGTCAGATATTTGTCACAGCAATAAGCAAAGAAGCTAGCTAACACAATGTGGTTCCCAGAAGAGGCTTCATCCATCAGGGTGTGTGCATAAACGTGGCAGCTGCTTGCAGTACAGAAAACATCCAGTGCTGTGGGGTGAGGAGAGCCAAGAAGGAATCAAGAGGGGAAGAGCTCATTCCCAGGATGAATATTGGCTTCTTACATGGTAAGTTTTTCTCTTTTCAGGAACTGGAGCTGTGCTACCGGAGCCCCAGAGAATCCCAGCTCTTCTCTGAGATCTATGCGGACCACATAGGTTCAGGGATTAAGCTCCAAATGAGAGACAAGAAGCATATGACCCTCATATGGGAGACCTTGTTGAAACCAGGTAAAGTGAGAACAAGTCCAGAGACCCCAGAAGCAGAAGAAAGTCAGTGAGTGGAGGGAGATACATTATCACTGTTTCTTGATGCCATGAAGCAGTCCAGAGAAGTTATGTAGCTTTATCAAATTCCATAAAGGTGATAAGACCACAGTTTAAATTCTGACACTGTGTTACTGTTGTTAGGGTTTCAGTCCAAAGTCAGCTGCCTCTGTCAGTTTTGGGCCTGAAGTGAAACAAAATAACATGGAGTGGGAGTATGTGGCAGAGCATGATAGCCATGAAGGAGAGAAGGCGGGAAGTGTGGGGCGCGCGGGGATCTCGGAGCGCCAGCTGCTGGGCGTGGCGCCGGTCTCTCGCGTGCCGCTGGGGTGCGGCGAGTTGCGCGCACTGCGGCGTTGCTGTTCGGGTCCCTGGCTCTCTGTGGCTACTGGATGCTGGCAACTCTGTGGGTCGCTGCGCTTCCAGGCGAGTTCCGTTCCAAGCTACCGGGCATTCCCTCTATGTTTCGCAATCCGTTGGCCACCGGGTCACGAGGGGAGGTGCAAGAACGGTGAAAGCAAGATCATCTTGAGTGGTTGTTTACAAAGGGACAGCCCCCTCCCGGGAGACTGAATCGCAGGCAGTAAGACACAGGATACAGCTCAGCTCCTGATACAGCTCCTTTATTCAGTGATTCAGCTCAGCTCCAGATCTTAGTGATTCAGCTCCGATTTATTAGGGGGAAACCAGGATTTTTATAGTGTGGAGGCAGTAGCAAAAGCCTTAGTTGATAGGTGCTTTGTAGGATGCCCCATTTACATGTGGTGGTGGGCTTCTGCCAGGCTGTCAGACATTGCCTATTATCACACAGGCCAGAGGACATGTATCTGTGACGGGCACTTCAAAAGGTGAGTCAGGAAGAGAGTAGGAAGGCGCCCCGCTGAGAAAGGGAGTCTCTGCATTTGCGCCAAGCCGGCCTGCGGCTATCCAGACATGGAGAGACTGGTACCTTAGACAGCAGGGGTCCCCAACAGGGAAGGAGGGAGGGAAAGAGGGAGAGAGGGAGGGAAGGATAGAGAGAGACAGAGGAGAAGGAAGAGGAGGAAGAAAGTAGTTCATGGCAAAATACACACTTTATGATAAACTCCCAATGGCCCCCCTTCCCCCAACTGTGCCCCTTCTATAGTTTCCACTCCTACTCTCAGAACTTCATTCAGTTATGAATGCACCAATTGACTCATTCATAAAATCGTAGCCCTCACAATCAGTCACCTCTGAATACTACTTCAGGACTAGTCCTTCAACATATGCACATTTAGCAGAGAACACATCATATTCAAACTACTATATACACTAAGCCTTTTTCTCTATGGTATGCTATTCCTCTGCTGCCCTTCAGTTGACAGTTTCTGACATCCACAAAGCCTCTGGCACCATTTCACATGATGGCTCAACTCTAAAATGAAGGGGTATTATTCAGTATTATAAGACTGATTAATTAAACCCTGTTTTTCCAACATGAGACACTCAATATTGGATAAATCCATATTTTCTCTTTTTATTAAGAAATTTTGTTCTTTGGCAATTTCATACATGTATATAATACATTCCAGTCATGATTCCCCCACACATACCCTCTCTTATCTCCCTCTTACCCCCACCAGTACCCCTTATTTACTAAAAATTTCTTCCCCATGTTCATATATTTTTGTTCTGTTTAGTGTCCCACATAGTTTAAATACAGCCTTGTGGAGAGTTCATGGGTTTTAAGCTCTCCATTAGAGCCTGGTGGACTCACCTGCAGGTATATAAGTGGATACTATTCCTCCCCTTCTCTCACAACCTGTGAGTTACTAAGAGTTGGGCAATAAGTAGGAGTGTCCTTCACCAGTCAGAGCTGACTGGTGGGCAGCCACAGTCACGGCCCAGTGGCAGTTAGCAGAGCTTTTTTGAGTTCATGATCGTCTAGGTCATGTCATAACCTAGAAGATAGCATTGCACAGCCTTTCTCCCTTCTTCTACACCATGGCTGATTCCATTTCCTAGCTAATGTAAATAGTGCTGCAATGAACACTAATGTGCAAATGCATCTGTAGTAAGTTATAAATTCCTTTGTATGTATGCCCAGATGTGGTACGGCTGGGTCATGTGGTAATTCTAGTTATAGTTTTATAAGGCGCCTCCAGATTGATTTCCAAAGTGGCTGCACTAGTTTATATACCAACTAGCAGTGTGCTAAGGGTTTCCCATTACCCATATCCACACCAGCATTTGTTGTCATTTGTATCCTTGATGACAGCCATTCTGATTGAGATGAGATAGAATCTTAGTTTTAATACACACAGCTAATAATCAAGCATTTCTTAACCATTTATATTTCTTCCATGAAGAACACTATTTCATTCCATAGCCCATTTTTCAATGGGGCTATTTCTTCTCTTGGAGTTTAGATTGTTGAGTTCCGTATACTCTTGTTACTAATCCTCTACCAGATGTATAGCTGGAAAATCTCTTCTCCCATCCTATGGACTGCCTCTTTACTCAATGTACAGTGGTCTTGGCTACACAGAAGATGTTTAGTTCCATGAGACCCCATTTGTCAAGTTGTTTTCTTTCCTGTAGCACCAGAATCTTATTCAGAAAATCCTTACCTGTACTCGTGTTGAAGTGTGTGCCCTACGTTTTCTTCTAGCAGTTTCAGGACATCAGGTCTTATATTGTGATCTTAGATACATTTTGGAGTTGATTTTCTTGCAGGGTAGGATATAGGGATCTAATTTAGCCCTTCCACACGTTGATACACAGGTTTTCCAGTGCCGTTTGTTAAAGAAGCTGTCTCTTCTCCAGTGTACATTTTTGGCTGCTTTGTCAAACATCGGGTAGCTGTAGTTACGGATTTATATCTGGGGCTCTACTCCATAGACCTATATATGTGTCTATTTTTGTGCCAGCACCAGACTGTCTTTATTAGTGTGGTTCTGTAGTACTCTCTTCAAATTGTGTATGATGATACCTCTCACAGTATTCTTTTTGTTCAGGATTGCTTTGGCTACCCTTCATATCTATACTTCCATATAATTTTTTTTAAATTTGTACTGGATTTTTGTGTATTTCATACAAAACATCTTTTTTATTCTTTTTTTAGTCTTTTGGAGACAGGGTCTTCCTGTAGTCCCAGCTGGCCTAGAACTCGCTATGCAGACCAGGCTAGCCTTGAACTCACAGAGATTTGCCTGCCTCTGCCTCCTAAGCGCTGGGATTAAAGGCATGCACCCCACACTCATTTTTATACTCCCTCCCCCATCCACACCCTCCAATAGCCCCTCCACAATATTTCATACATTCTGTCACTATGTTAAGGCTTATCAAGTCAAGTTAGTGTGCCCAGACATCCCTCAGTGCAGGTTCATCCATGGGGTCTAGTCAGCCTATCTAGAGTCACTCCCTTAAAGATCAACTCTCCCTCACCCAGCAGCAATCAGCTGTCAATAGTTCTTTGACTAAGATTGGGGCCTGCTGTCTATTTCCCCAGTTCTATGCTGGGATTCTTTTCTGATTGAGCTTGCATGGGTCTTATGCAAGCTGACAAAATGGCTGTAGATTCATTTGAGCAAGGTCCTCGGAGCCTGAAAGATTCTGTTTACATATGGTCATGCACCTCCACCCCTAGGTCTTACAATCTTCCCACTCCATCTTCCACAATGGTCCCTGAGTCCTGGGTAGGTAAAGTTTAATATAAGAGTATCCAAGGACCCACACACTCTGTAGACTCTTATTCTCTATATATTTTCCATATGAATTTTAAAGTTTTTTTTTCTATTTCTCTTAAGAATGTTGCTGGAATCTTGAATTGCATGCTATCTGTAGATGGCTTTTTTTTGGTCTTTTTGAAACAGGGCCTCCCTATAGCCCCGGCTGTCCTGGAACTCACTATGTAGACCAGGCTGGCCTTGAACTCACAGAGCTCTGCCTGCCTCTGCCTCCCAAGTGCTGGGACTATAGGCATGTGCCACCACACCCAGCTTGTAGATGGCTTTTAAGGATGGTTGTGTTCACAGGATCCTTCCAATCCATGAACATAGAAGGCCTTTCTATCTTTAATGCCTTACTCAATTTCTGTCTTTGATGTCTTAAAGTTTGTGTTAAGAGGTATTTTGTTTCCTTGGTTAAATATATTCTCAGATAGTTTTGTTGTCTATGTTGTTTTTGACTACTGTGAATGGGACATGTGTATGTCTATGTTATCAAGGTAAGATAGACAAGAGGAAATCAAATAATGAACTTCAAGGGATAAAGCTAACACAGCCTTAGCCCATCACCCTAATCCCAAACCAAGCCCTCCTAAACAGTACTTCAGGGATAATCAGTCCTTGTCAGCTATCACACATGGTCGCAGCTGCTCCTATGCTGCTACAAACATGCGGTCCAAAGATAGGCTATGCTTTTCCTGGGCTTAATTGAGTCACAGGTAAAGAACTAACCTGCACCAGCATCAGACCTTGTTTGTATCCCACTTCAGTGTTTACTCTCTGACTGATCTAGGGAAATAACTCATTTGAGTCTGAAGTTCCTTATCTAAAAAATAAGGATCATAAGACTAACTGATAGAAAAGTTAAATACAATGATGTTTGAACATGCTTCATGCAGTGATTCTTAACTAATAGGAGCAATGTTGTTATTTTTATGTGAATTCTGTCTCTGCTGCCCACTTTTCTTAAATCTGTCCTTTGGAACTCATCAATCTATTCCCTTCCACATGGGAAACCTTCAGTTACTAGACAACTAGGATCATGGTTTCCTTCTGCCTCCATATATGCATGTTAAGTGTCTCAGATTCCTTCCATCGTTGCTCTTATATTTTGGCTTTTAAATCTTTGGCCATCCAATCTCTTTTCTAAATAGATGCTCCAGCTTATGTGTCAATCAAGATGGAACAAGACAGTCTAGTCAACATGCAGTATAAGCAACATCATCTTACCTTCATGCAAATGGAAGCAGAGCTTCCAGTACCACAGCCTGGATCCTTGTGTCCACGTCCCTGAACTATTATGATGCAATGATCACAGGCTCATCTCAGACCCTCAGGGTTTGCTCATATGAAATGGAATTGATTAAACTCCTTCACTTGCTGTCATTGCTAAAATTCAACCATTATTCCCATGTGCTAAGACTTGCTTCAACTTGATTCTGATATCAAATCCAGAACACACATATGTGGTGTGTGAGTGAGAAGAAAGTTGGATAAGAAAGTTGCTTTCTGCCCAGAAAAAGACTTTAAATGGTTTAAGCCATCTGGCAAGGAACTTGGTTAATTCTCCACCAGGGATTTAGGATAAAATTGAGGTTTTCATAATGATGGAGAAAATGCTCATTGATGTGTCTTCTCTCTCTATAGGCTCGGGACCCAAACTCCCCCATACGAATAAGGAAATAGTCACCTTTCAGATTATATCGGAATTTCTGTAGATTATTTTCAGAATCACAGTCATGGGTACAAGTTTCAAGGTGTGGTCTGTGTGTTTATAACTGGAACCATGACAGTTGCTTCTTCATCTCTCCTTTCTTCCAGGAGACCTGAGACCTGCACCAACCCTGGTCCCTCCAACCCCTAAAGGTCAGTAACATCATGAGATGTCAGAGGGACCATTGGTATTCCTTTTGTATACTATCTGATCCTTGACAGATGGGCAGTGAGAAAGGAGGGACCCTATTGTTGCAACCCTCACTAAGATCCATTGAAGAGGTGCATACCTTGGGCAGAATTCCTCCCCATACCCTTTTCTGCCACCCATGGAGGTCTAACACAGCCCACTCACACCCTGAATGCCCCACCATGAACCTTTCTTATGATCAAGCAGAATATCAGACTAGACACTTGCATGAAGAAGGGTAAAGGTGCTTTTCTGGTCAAATAGTCTTCCAGTGGGAGAAGGAAGCTGGGGACGCAGATGAGGTGAGTGAAAAGTACAAGAGGTGGGCAATCAGAAGTAGTCTATAGAGGAGCTTTTCTTTGCTCATTGCCAGTCTCATCTCCACTCCCAGGTGCTTCTGCCCCGATACACTTTGTGGACCAGCATCGGGAGCAGCTGGTGGCCCGAGTGACATCAGTGGACCCTGTGTTGGACAAGCTTTATGGTCAGGTGCTGAGTGAAGAAGATTATGGGAAGGTGAGGGCTGAGACCACCAATCCCAACAAGATGAGGAAGCTGTTCTGCCTCAGCCAGTCCTGGAACAGGACCAATAAAGACCAACTCTACCAAGCCCTGAAGGCGACCCACCCTCACTTGATCATGGACATCTTTGAGAAGTTGGGAGGGGTTTCCGGAGGATCCTAACACCTTTGTAGCTGAAGTCTAAGCACTGTCCTTTGAATACTGGCTCGGATGACATTTCTTTGACCCTCAGTTTCTCCAGCTGTAAACAATTTTCCGTCTGAGTTGCCTTTCTGATGGCACTGTTTCCAGGACACCTCAGGAGGACCCAGGTGTCCCACCCCTCCTTGGTTTTCACCAACCAACTGCCTAGTGGGAAGAAAACTTCCATCCGGATCTGGCAAGACTATATAGACTTGTGGAGCCTGCTCTTCTGGCCAGAGTGGACAGCCTAGAGCCCCACCTGTGCCATCAGAACATAAGCAGGAGCGGGGGGACATGGGAATGGAGACGATGGAAATGGACACATGTCCTTGGAAAGTGTCAATGCCTTATGAGTTGGAGAAGAAAAAGGCTTCTTAAACATTTCCACATTCATCCCCTTTCTGCCCAAGAAATTTTAACATAACTATATATATATATAT